CTCTTTTTAGGGTTCCATATTTTGGGACCTTATGTAATAATGTTGGATGGTATAACAACGAATATGCAAGACAATATCCCATTCCATGGTGTATAATGACTATTGATGGCATTGTTTTGATACTTCTAAAGAAACTATAAAGATGGAGGAATGCATTAGAATTTATTCCATTCTTTGTTGTAATGCATCTTATTGATGATGGGAAAGAAAGTGTGTATGTCATTGCAATCTTCCAAATAAAGAATTGTGATTATAGAATAGGAAGTTTACTTAGATTTCAGTCAATTTGATGAGGTTTGTTGCCACGTTTTTGGTATCATAATTTCATTAAACCCTTCTGACAGTTATCATAGTTCGATAGACAGCAAAGTTACAAAGCCTTAATTCTAAAATTGCTTTTTATTTATTTATTTACTTCTCTATTGACAGATTAGCAAATATGATAAGAAACTCTTTGTATAAATATTGAGCTGAAGACTGCAGAGTAGAAGTGTTAAAATCCATATGATTTTCTATTTACTTCTTGTGCTCTTTGCTTTTGCTTATGAGTTATGGCTGTCTTGTGTTGTGCTTGTCTAGTCCTAAACCACTACAGACTATCAATTGCTAATCAATCTTATTTGTTTTACTTTTGGACTTCCGAAGTAATAAAACCAAGGTTACATTTAGTTACCATAACTATGATTCCACGTCTAAGAGGATGAGGTTAAATAGGATTTATGCTCACTAAGACTTACTGTTGCAGGTCTATTCATTAGATTGGACCTCTGAAAAGAATCGAATTGTCAGTGCATCTCAAGATGGACGTTTGATAGTATGGAATGCACTAACAAGCCAGAAGACTCATGCCATAAAGCTGCCTTGTGCATGGGTCATGACTTGTGCTTTCTCACCGACCGGACAATCCGTTGCTTGTGGTGGTCTTGATAGTGTTTGCTCTATTTTCAACCTGAATTCCCTTTGTGACAAGGATGGGAATCTACCTGTATCAAGAACACTTAGTGGACATAAGGGTTATGTTTCCTCCTGTCAATATGTTCCAGATGAGGACACTCACCTGATTACTGGATCTGGTGATCAAACATGTGTTTTGTGGGATATTACTACTGGACTCAGGACTTCAGTTTTTGGAGGTGAATTTCAGTCTGGACACACTGCAGATGTACTGAGGTATATCGGGTGGTTTTAAATGGCTGTATATATAACATCTATTGCATCAGGGTGTTCGTGTTCAATGAATACCTGCATATTTTACTTTTCAGCCTTGAGTTGTTAGGCAAATGGAAAAGGCAAAAAAAAAAAAAGGTCTTTCAAGTTGGTGCATCTGAACAGTAGAGATTAAAACTACTTAATAACTTGTAAACTATAACTCATAAAAACTTGTTCTTTTAATTGATCTGCTCTGAAATTCTGTGATTTAGCAATTATCTGGTTCGTTATGGGCAGTCCATTTTCATGATTTTACCATGTAATGGAACTGTTTGCTCTAATTTATTTAGTGCTGAGAGAAACTGTGTCTACAGTTTTTTTTTATTGTCGTTATTGAAGGCTGCTAGTGTGGTTTACCCTTTATTTGTAGCTCTTGTTGTTTAT